TATAAATTAACTTTAAAGTTCTGCACATTATAATGTTTAAATATTACAATAAAAAATTAATTTGTTTTATAATGATAAATTTTTCCAAATAAAGTTATTGTAAACAAACAGCTAATTAAATATACAAGCTATTTTAACAGGCACAAAAAATAAATATTATGCAAGAATACTATTATGAGGAATATGAACATTTGAAATGATTTGATTGTACCCTTTAAATGTTACTTTAAGCATATATTATTAGTTGTATTAAAATTAAACGCCCAGTTTAAACTACTCATGTATAATAAAAACAGTCATCGGATTATGAACACCAAATCCACTTCAGGACAGATACGACTAGATTTGGACACCGGGTGGCCAACAAAAAGCGGTCAATTAACACCGGACAGGGATGACCATTGGGCACAATCACCTCCCGGTGCCCAACACTTCTGGCGCATCACCTTTGCTATAGTGATGGCCCCGTTTGCGTTGACCGGTGCCCCTGTATTTAGCGCAGCGTCACATAGTCTCTACCCTATCGACACTACCGGCAAATGGCTGCGGCATATATTTACCAATATCAATTTAGTGCCGATTACTATTTTATCGCTGGGTATTGCACTATTTATAGATTGTTATTTAATGTACCAAATAGGCGATATCGCAAACACGCTTTTGTTTGTGGGAGCTTTGCCCAAAAACGTTTTGTTCACCATAGGCGATTTGTGCAATTTATTGCCCATAGCGCTTCCGGTCACCCTATTTTGGTTTAACGGTCATGTTATACGTGATTTAATTAAACGGTTTGATAACACTCAGCAACTAAATCGCCACTTAATCGTGATCAGAATAACTACAATTTTTATCATAGTTTTAGCTATTCATTCAATCAGCTACTCGACGTACGACTGGAGACTCAAACATGGTATCACAACCGAGAGTAAATTGGAATTTTTTGGTTACATGTATTTTAGTATCGCTACCACATTGTTGTTTATTGTTTATCTAACATTCGCCTCGGTAAGTTTTTAATATTAATATAATATTTATTAATAGTTGTGATCCTATAATAGTAGACTAGTTAACAATTTTTAAAATTTGTAATGATTAATTAAAATTTACTAAACAAGGCCATACATTGCAAATGTATCGAGTTAAATGAATTTATATTGAACTCGGCCAACACAGCACCAGACGGATCGGTCGAGTTGGGTCGATTGCGCGAAATTAAGCGCAAGTTCAAAACAAACGCCGACAACATAGTCGCTATCAATAAAACGCTTAATCTAGTTATGTCAACATTTATCATCACGTTAATTATCGAAATGTTCATCGACTCGATTAACATAATGCTTTTGTTTTCTGCCTATTGGGGCCGCCCAGTGACCAGTACACTTGGCCCCGGTATGATCAGGGTGATGTCCGCCGACGTATTGTTGCTCATATTAAGATTTACCCTAATTATTATTACCTTATCAAAAATGATGGCAGTGAATGAACAGTCACGGGCGGCGCCCACACATCTGTGCGACACGTTTACCCATTTTAATTCAACAGTAGAGTCGGAGTCCTATAGATCGGCATGTTGTTTATTTAGAAATTTTAAATAAATTATACATATTATTTATTTTGCAAAATACAGTTCCGTTTACTCAAGTATTACATGTCGGCCCGTTTGGAGAGGACTGAGACTCCGGCCGTACTTTGCATTTCAGTCTTCTTGGGTTACAACTTCTTAAGCCAGAGATTCACCGCCAGAACCAAGTATTAGTGATCGTGGGATCACTTTTAAGATAATATTTACTAGTAAATACTTTATGATGATAACCATTATTTTATTTTATTTTGTAATTTTTGTCATTGATATTTAAGTTGTTTAAGTTATTTATATAATTTTATTAATAAATGTTAGTTAAAATGATATGTAATGATTGAAAATTTAAATATATTGTTTTCACACATTAAAATAATAAAAAAATTATTGAATTAATGTACAATATATTTTAAAATATAATAAATCATGTAGTGTTAGTAGTCGGCGCTGGGGCGGGGAATGTCTGTGCGGATGGGCTAACCACCGGCGGGGGTCCGCCCCCATAGGCCTCAACATTATTGGCCCGACCGGTAGATGCGGTTCGGATCAGGAATATGTAAATTAATGTGACTGCGAGTGAGTTCAAAAACCCTACAATAAATGCTATACTAAAACAAGTTATACTGAGCCCGATGATAAATGGCAGCATGGTCAGTGTAGCGTAAACTATCACTTTAGTCCAGGGCGATTTGTCTTCAAAGAAACGGCTTACTGGCGCCGCGAATGCCAGGAACTCTACAAATGTGGGCCCCTCTATGCTTATGATTATTACGGATGCCACCCTGGTAATATGTAATCATACATTAGTAAATATAGTAAAGTTAAATTAATACAAAAATACAAATTACTATTTAAATAATAGTGTAGCTCTCTCTCTCTCTCTCTCTCTCTCTCTCTCTCTCTCTCTCTCTCTCTCTCTCTCTNCAAAACTCACAGAAACACAATAACAATTGTGTAATAAAAATAATAACAATGAGTTAGACATACATTTGCATGAGTGCTGGTGGAATGCACCATGGCCAGAATATTGCAATGAATGCGTTGATAAAAAGCACGAGACCCAACACCGTGCAAATGCGTGTGGCCCACAACTCCAGCCACGTGTGCTGACCATCGTTTACCGGTGCGCTCAATGGTATCCAAATACACATTTTGATGATTAATGTGAAATGTAGATGTAATTAAATTTTAACAGTATTATTAAATTAGAAATACAGTTTTCAACTTTAATACATGCATTTATTTCAATGACAATATCTTTTTGTCTGTTGTTTTTATATCTGAATAAATATTACATACAAAAAATGAAATTACTTTATAAGTATGATACAATGATACAATGAATTAATACTTTTTTGATTGATGTAAATCAAATCACCATAGCAAAGTTTAAAATAAATGTGGCATCACAATTGTAAGTATATAAACCACTCAACATGTTATTCACTCATTATGGTTGTACAGTTAGCAGCCCTGTACATAAATAGTTTACTATAAATGGCAAGTTTAATTTAATCATTAGGAGTGATATATTAACAGTGTAAATATTACGAAAAATAATTTATCAATAATTGATTTTTGTATATTTAAACAATTAATTATATTACCATAATTATAAAGCACTTATAAGGGATTATATTGTACGCTGTTATGTAATTCTTATCAATAGTTTGATGTTATATTAAATGAGAATTTCCTGTGTGTAGTGTATGTATTGTTAACATTGATTACCAGCGATACCACACGTCTTATATTATACTGTATATGTAATTAAAATATATAAATGAAAAATATTTTATAGTTAAATGCAGGAAATTACACTTTATTTATAACAACAGTAAGTGAATCATTTTGTCCATGTATTACATTTTAGAATATAATTGGATATAAATTGTATTTTGTTTTTAAGAACATGACGTTAATTAAAATTATACAAATATGTAATTCATTGTTTTGTTGTGTGATTTAACATAAGGCGATAGAAATTGAGATTGCTAATAAAATTCTTACATTTTTATATTTAAATAACTACAATGTATCATTAGAGACTGTAATACAATATAACTATTACATTAGGCCTTATATTAAATCTTGTCATAATTTTTCTTGGAGTAAGTTATTTCTCGTCATTTCATTTTAATAATTAATTTCATTTTAGACAAAATGCTAATTCAATATACTGTAACTAAATATGCAAATAAACGATTAACAAATATAACGAGATAAAATTTTATCCGGCCATCAGATTATTTTACAAACAAATTAAATTAAAATAAATTAATATTATGCAATTATTTCCTTATTGTTAACAGATTTAATAAAATGTTAAGCAAGACTTTAACCATAAGAATAAATTCAACAATTGATTTCAATAAAAATCATAATAAAAGGTTATTTCAATAAAACATTTATAATTTGTAATATATTTGTCACAAATATTTTTGATAAAATGAGTTTCCATTAAAATATAAATAAAATATTTTTAAATTATCAATATTTATAATGAATTTAAAATTATTTGTGATTATATTTATATTATTTATAATAACCACAACTTATTTATTATTTAATTATTTGATACGTAATAATGAAGTAACTTATAACAACATTGATGTAATTTTACAGACTAATCATGGTACATTAAAAGGTGTTCAAAAAGTTGAGGCTGGATACAGTTACCGTCAATTTTTGGGTATACCATATGCGTCGGCACCAATCGGCAATGTAAATATGCTAATTAATATTCATTCATAATCTCTCTCTCTCTCTCTCTCTCTCTCTCTCTC